TCAACATTTTTGAACATAAATAAAATCTTTAAAATAAATCTTTAGAGAAAGAAATCTGCAAATCTAAAGACAATCTCTCTGAAGAGCTCGTTTTATAATAGCAATGTTTTAAATTTAGTCGACGAATCAGAATTCCAGCTACAGTTTAATTTATAGAAAATTATTAATTAAGAAACGAAATGGAATTGCAATTCATTAAATAACAATTTTTCCCAACTCTTCCTAAAATTTCTCTTTTTCCCATCGGTTAGTAACAGTAGTCAAAGACAGAGCACTTGGTATTTTATTAAAGTTATTGTACTGGACATTATTTGACGTTACTAGCACGAGATTTGGTTTTGTATAGTTTCTAAATAAATAATTTGAATAAACAGTAATGTAAAAAAAGTGTGATTTTTGAAGATTTGTGTTATAGAAGCCCCTTTATCTAATTTATAATTTTTTCTAAAATTACTTATAATAAGAAAAACGTTACTTTTGATAGTCAAACTTCATTGAAAGCATTTCACTTTTGTCAGTTTAATTCCGTGTTTCTTTATGAATGCTTCGTGTCTATTCAATCGATTGATCTGTCACACAATTATATTTTATTCATGAAACATATTTGTATTTTATTATTATATTCAATAGTATTTAAGTTTAGCAGTAAATTTGTGTCATCTCCAAACAACAATTTTCTAACAAAATAAAGTACATTTCTGTCTTCTTCAAACATAACAACAATTTTGTAAATAAATTTATAGAATAACTTGTATTTTATATTTTATTTATGAAACTTTATGGAACTTAAATCAATACATTAATTTAGTTCTGAAAGCGTTCAACTATTTCATTACTTTGTTTATTATAGTGTTTCGTGTATATTCAAATTTTCCAATTTACATTAAAGGATATTAGATATATAAAAAGTCGAAACATAAAATCGATTGATAAAACAGCAATTTAGGTATTAGTAACGAGTAAAACAGGATGTACTGTATATACTTTTTCTAATAATTAAATAATCCTATTAAAAGTAGCTATTGATCGAAGAATTGCCGATTGACTTCTGATAAAACGTCACACTACAACACCACAACTAAAATTATTCTAAATTTAATTANCCATATATTACGCTTGTTATGTCAACTTTTATTGCATTATCAGCTGGAATATCATATATACTTCGTTTTTAAATATGCTCCTTTTGACAACTTCTAGTTTTTATTTTAAGACACTAGGAAGCATATGCATATAAATGAAAGGAGAAGTATGTCTGAAACGTGTTCGATTGTAATTGTTTGGCCACTCATTAATATTATTTGACGTCACAATTAAAAAACAAATTAATGGTAATGTCCTCTATCTTGAATACTTTATTGATGGCTTATAAATTAGTATTATATATCGTTTTTAAAGTTCTATATTATAACATTCTATATTTTAATATATTCTAATCGTTACTTTTATAGTATTAAATATACTATGACTTTCTCTATGATAATATTTGATGTCTCTTTTTTATGCTATGTAAAAACACTGTAATATTTTGACAATAAAATTTATCTGCATCAGTATCATATAGCCGTCTACGCTTGAAATAAATTTAAATATTTTCCTCATTCTTTCATTTTTGTTCCTTTAACAAAATTGTCTTTTCAAACATTTCTACTGATCACGATAAACTAATTTATTTTGATAGCTTTAGTATAATGGTTTTTAAAGATAACTTTAAGAAATTTTTCTACTGTTTATATACAACTAAATAGATTTTAGCATTATTAGATGGTCAAGTAGTCCACAAAGAAGGGTCAGTATTGTCATAGTGTAATTTCACAATGTAAAAATGAATAAAAAATAACTGTTTTTGTCATTTAAAAAAAATTAATTTGAGAACTTCAAATTGCAAAGGATTCTGCTGCGAAAAATACGCCAGGCGAATTGGACGTTGTTATAGACGATGATTCGTATTTTACCTTTAATGGAAGGGACTGCACTGGGAACAACACGTACTATTGTAAGAATGCGACTGAGGTTGATCCATTAGTAAAATTTAAATGTTATGTAAAATTTCCTCAAAATACGTTAGTTTGTATAATAATCAGTTCAAACGGAAGATATAAGCATTCATAGCATCCTTTCGCCGACGGCCGGATAGTCGAGAGGTTTAAGTCGCAACCCGTTGCACTGATGGGTCAAAAAATTCCATGAATTTTTCGGGCAATAGTTCATCTGGATATGTCGAGCCTTATCCCTTATTATAAACCGGCCAATCCCATAATGGGTATGCTAAAAGGGTAACCATAGGGAGAAAAATTTAAAAACAAGAAAAGCAAAGAACGTGGAGTCGCAACGAGTTCATATTCTTAGTGTCAGCAAAGAGAACAACATTGCAAATGTTCCTCAGCTGCGTCTAATTAAACCATTCTGGTGCCAACTGAAACCGAAAATACGGAGCTAGAGGAGCAAGCTGAAAAAATTGTGACTAGTATTTTTCTTTTTTCAAGCCAGCACTAAGCCTATTAGTTACAATCCAAGTATAAAAAAGCATCAGTAGCCTAAGTTTATGTGATGAAAGAGAAAGCATATACTACTGCACATGGGTACTAACAACTGAGCCGAGAAAGCTTAGTCACCTTATAGCCCCCGTAGCTACGGCTCTGATCCAGATTCACTATGGGGAGGCCGGATGATGAGGGACAAGACGACATATCCAGCACAGACCATCCATGAAAAATTCCTCAGGTTCTCTACCCGGGATTTGATCTTGGACTCCCTCTTTGGTAGGTTGACTCTTTTGCTGCTTCAGTTCCTGCCATCTCTGTTTTTATGTATAAACTAAGTTTTATGAAAAGAAAATTTAAAGTTTTTGAATTTATGCAAACTCAACATTAATTATTATTCTATAGCTGTATATTAACTTAATTTGCTATTAATTTGCTATACGTAGAAATTATTTGAAAGGATACAATAAGATATAAGGCAATAAAATGTCAGCACTTAATGCACTATACCAAAGGTTGACGTCAATCTTTAAGCTGCCTTCCCATAGCTGAGAGTGTAAACGATTTATAGGCACATAAGCATAAACATGAATTAGCAGTGGAGATTCAAGATGTTCTGCGAGAGAAACGATTTACATGTATACGAGTCGATTTACGTGTATCAAAAAGAAGTAACGTTTCACAACAAGACTCATTGTGATTCTATCGATAAATTTTTAGGAAAAGTACTTGATGTCTCATTATTTCGGCTAATCATAGGTTACCAAAACAAACTTATCATCTTAGATTAATTTTGAGAAATTTTTATTTTAATTTCATTAAATATCTAAATAGCTTAATATAGGACTTTATCCTAAAAATCTTCACAAATTTCAATAGCGTTTTCTGTTAATATCGAATAATTGCAGGCGCAAGAGACAGCATACATTTTTTCTAGAATGTTTTCGATTCCATTTATCAAAAAAGTTTACGCAAATAACATTCCATTTTTAAAATGTAAGGATCAAATGAATTTGATCGAAGGCAATTGGCAGATTTTATATCGAATATGGAAAATCTTATACAGTTAACTTTTTCGAAGAGTTCCACGGCTTATATAGTATCATTTCAAAAATAGAGCAAGAGAAATCTGCAGAAAGAACGAGAAGCGTCGAAAGAGGAAAATGACTAAATGGAAGAAAAATAAATTGGAGGAAGAAGCCTTGAGAAAAGTTAGATAAATGCTTACAAAAAGCATTTATCTAACTTTTTTAACAAACCAAGTTTAAGCAGAAACATTCTGGCTGGCACTCGGTATAAAGAGACATTCACAAGCCTTCATTGTCCCGTTACGGCTCTCTCCGTCACCAAAGAAGTGCATGACAGCAGATGCATTCAGAAGAGGCTAGTACCGTTCCTAAAAAAACATCACCTTGACCAAGGATGTCTTCTGGCCAGATATGGCCACATCCATTCTGCTCACGACACAGTTGTCAAGTTGGACCATTACGAATTCGATATATCTTTCCTTAAAGTCTACATTCCCGGTCTCTTTTAAGCCAATTTTTCTGTATGAGTATTAGTTTTTTCTTTGATAGAGCTACAATAGTTCATATACTAGGATTTTACATTTTGAATACATTATCAACTGTTCCTACAAAAATGTTACGAGTTAAATTAAAAGACACGCATGTTCTTATAGATGAGATAATTACAACCCTCTGTTCTAAGGATAGAAGGGTTCAATTCTATAGCATATATTCTCAACTACTACTATAGCATATAGTTATATTCTCAACCAATTATATCTAATGTGTTAACTTAAGTTTATCTTTAACTAGATATAACATTTCTAAATTAGGATTTGATTCATTGATTTGTTGATGCGAAACAAGCGCATGAAGAGTTAGTGTCTATAGACAAGAAGATAAACAGAATGAAGAATATTCAAAGATATTCCAGACATTCGAGAATATAAAGATTTCGCCGTCAAAATTTGATGTTTATACCAATTATCAATATCTCGATAATTTTTAAATGAAATATCGTTTGTGTTGTGCTGAATATAATCAAACGAAGAAACATTGACAAGGAGACAGAAAATTTATTATTTATTAAAATAACTGATATATTTGAAACCAGACAAGGGTAATAATTGAAACTATTTACCTTTAAATGTAATTAATTAATAGACTATATATATATATATCTGTAAGAATGATATAGATATCATTTTAAATAACTGTCACTAAATTTCCATAGCACATCTTGGTGATTTTGTCTTTGCTTTAAAATATTTTAGTTACATTCTCTCATATATTTTTATCTGAAATTTCATCATCTAATTTTATTTTTTTAAGACTAGATCATTCATGTAAATTATATTTAGCATATTCCTTGTTTATCAATTTTATAACTTGTTTCCTCCTATTCTTTTACTATCTTCCCCCTCACTTCCTAGTTTAAATTATTACAAGAAAGTCACGTGCTTATACAATAGTCTAAATTAAAATAAATAAATAAATAAAAATAGGATAAGATGTGGAAGATAATGCCTGGAGCTTATAAAAAATTACTTCTACTACTATTCATAAAACTTGCAACTTCTTAATTTTACTAATATTTAATTACGAAACAAATTGATTTACCTTATTAAAAGCTTTCATCTAATAATAATAAAAAAAATATATTCAATTTAAGCATTTCACATCATTTGCTGCATTAAAAATCTATATCTTTAATAACGCTACTTAATGGAAGTTGTGCGTCATTTTAATAGCAACACTATAAATAAAAAAAAAAGGTAGAGAAGGTGTGAAAATCGATTCTTGGTTTATTCGGGAGAAAACAATTCGTATAGCATTCGCAAATCTTACCTTCTTTTAATATATAAAGGTATGATCTCGATATTAATATTTGATTTTATTTTAGATGTGAAGTTTATCGCGTAATATTTTTTAAATTATGATTTTCAGACAATGCATCGAGTCACCACCAAAATTCGTTTCTTACAACCTCCGTTTTCTGCTACGCACAGGATTAAAATGACTTGGAGTCCCATGTTAAATCATATGGCTTTATGGGGCCTACGTTTTAGTCGAAGAAGGAATTGGTACGGAATCTTAGTCTTATTGTTAATTACCTTATTCGCTTTCATTATGTTATGTATGGCATGCGAATTTACGTTTCTGTATACAAGCGTGGTTTGGTCAGTGAAATCGCTTGCATTCGCGTTCGAAGCTTTAATAATTTCATTCTGTTATTATCACTTTAAATATTATAGAAAGAAATTATACATTCAAATAATAAAATTGTTCGAATTGCCTGTAGAAAACGAGATAAAGCACTCGAAACGTGTGAAAAGGATATTAATTGCTATTATTGTTTTAACGTGGTTGAGCAGTATTGGACTGCTTGTTTGTTACATCATGATTTTCAAAGATTTAAGGTCATCCGAAAATAAGTTCAATTCTGTTCTGAAAACTTTATTTAGTCATAAAATATACATAATGATATATCAAGGTTTTTACGTTATTTTGATTTTTATACCAGGATTTTTAATAATGACCCTGTTTGTTTCCATTAGTAAAGAGATTGAAAAACGATTTAAAGATTTATATGCAGACGTTAAATTACTCAAAAATTTATCAGAGGAGAAACTATTATTTATCATCATTAGATATATCGAACTGAGTGATATTGTGGGCAATTTCGATGATATTTATTCTCCGATTTTCTTTCTATGGTCCGTTGGTATTGGTACAAAAGTGACAATAACTGTTAACGATGTTTTAAAGTTTCAGGCGAATGGCTTATATTTATTAACAATCCAGATAATTTGGAGCTTCATTCCAACGTGTATGTTCATCATATTTTGTATTTCTTCGGCGAGTATAAGTGAAACGTCTAAAGAAATAGCGAAAGAAATTTACAAGAAATCCATCTTTTGTAAAGAAGAAATAATTCGAGCTGCTGCATTTAGATTTTCGTCCATTTGTATAGAAAATTCAATCAGTTTTACTGGTTGGAAGATGTTTGATTTAAATCGTGGACTCTTACTCACCGTTTGTAGCGGAATTTTCACTTATCTAGTTGTCATGTATCAAATGAAATAAACTTATTTAAAAACAATAATAATTACGGTATTTAATTTTACCTAAGTTCAGTAGCGAATTTAAGAAATTACGACGTTTCCTAAAATTCCTAAAATTCTCCCTAGTCGATTGTAGAAAATCTTTTGTAAAAAAATAGTGTGTAACCTAGATTATTGTTTGTTCAATTTCTACAAAGAATTAGATGGTAGTCTTAATATTTTTAGACATATGTAAATATCATTTTCTGTTTAATATAAACTGCCTTAATTAATATTACAACAGTTTAAATTTAAACCCCGAAATCACAGTGTCCTTTTCACTTGAACTACTGCAAAAATTTTAAATAGTTTCTTAAAAATACTTAAAGATTTAGGAAGATTTCATGCTTTATAATATCTTAATTGAATTTCTCTATTTTCCCGATAGATCTATTTTTGTATAAAGATAGTTTAATTCTATATTTATTGACATGATTATGCCCCGTTTATGGGTCAATCATGTTAATGTTTTGCATCAAGAATTTGTTTGGTAAAGCGCATCTAACCATAATCGTTATCGATAAGCTACCTTAAGTAGTGCAAAATACAGAAGAAAAAATTAACTTAATACAAATATGCACGTTTTTTCTAACATAACATATGATGCAGAAAATGTGACGTAAAAGAAGTAAATTAAAATTTGTTTTTACATATTAAAAAAAAATGTGATTGAAAATCTTTTATTATTATATATTAAATAATGTTATCATGTTAATTGTTTTAAGGAGATAAACTGGATTAAACAAAAAAGTAATTATGCTAATTATGCAAAAAAACAAAATAAAATTTTAATTATAAAAAATAAAAATTAATTTGATTCTTAATTATTAAAATTACTAAATTTTTTCTGTTAGCTGTCATCATTTACAATAATTTATTTTGTGTGACTTCTTAAAACGAAATATATATATATATATATATATATATTGAGGATTAAAGTGTAAATTTTCTCGAATTATTTACTTTCTCTTAGATTGCTATTTTTCAATTATAACTCTTCAGTTAAACCAATGTTTTTCAACAGTTCATTAGAGATACCTCCTAATACATATTTTATAGTTATTACTATTTATTCACAATATTTAAAATTAAATATTTATTTACTTATTTGTTATATATATAGGCCTATATAAAACATTATTGAACATTATTCAAAACAGAATGAAATAAATTTTAAAATGTTTTAAAACGTCTGTGAATAAATCTAATTATTTTAAATTACAATAAACAATCTTGTCAAAAAAGTTTTTGTAAATAAAGAAAATAAAAAGAAATACATTCTGTGTATCTATTAAAACATTTATGATATTTTTTTATTTTATATTTTATTTATGAAACTTTATGGAACTTAAATCAATACATTAATTTAGTTCTGAAAGCGTTCAACTATTTCATTACTTTGTTTATTATAGTGTTTCGTGTATATTCAAATTTTCCAATTTACATTAAAGGATATTAGATATATAAAAAGTCGAAACATAAAATCGATTGATAAAACAGCAATTTAGGTATTAGTAACGAGTAAAACAGGATGTACTGTATATACTTTTTCTAATAATTAAATAATCCTATTAAAAGTAGCTATTGATCGAAGAATTGCCGATTGACTTCTGATAAAACGTCACACTACAACACCACAACTAAAATTATTCTAAATTTAATTATAGAAGTTTCATTATTTAAGAAAGTTAATAAATAAATTATTTATTTTACAATATACTTCTAAAACAAGTGTTACCAATTAAAACAAATAAAGTTTTATAAATGAAAGTTATAACTGAAAACAGAAAACAAAATTTTTTTCTCCAATTATTTTATACTTTAATTTAAAATAGATGATTATTTTCTTTATATAGTCCTATATATATATATATATATATATTTTAGCCTACTAAATTATATCAACCACTCACAAAAGTAAATCGAAAATGAATATGTTGTTCTATTACCCCAGTTAGGCATTTCATCATTGTGATTTTTTAATCATTTAACCCGTTTACGCTCTTTGAATATTACGACAGTAGCTTCGTTAAGTTAATTTAATTTATACACAAAACCATGCGAAAGAGTCATTTGAAATACATTCTGAAAGTATGAGGCATTAATTCCAGGTTAGAAGAAAATAATATAAATGAAATATCAAAAGAGAATAAGACCAGGTAAGCCAAAAGAAAGAGTAGGTATATCTAGAAAACAAAGCATAAGAATTAAAATAGATAAAACCAACTAATTAGCTGTACAATTATTGGGAATAATAACAATAAATTTGCTTTAAAACTTTAAATTAATAAAATACAAGTTCGAGATTTTTAGTTATTTTTGTTTATAAAAAAAACTAAAACAAACTGGTAAGCTCATAATTAAAAACAAATAATAAACTTAAAGTAGGCCTATTAAAAAATGTTATGATAGAAAAACTAATAGAATTATGTTAAATTATCTGTGCTAATATGATAACTGATATCTGTCTGATATAAAAAAAAACTTGCAGATGTAATTCCAAACGATTAAAAGAGGAAACAAACAAAGTTTCGTATGAATTGACTGAGCACAAAATTCGTAATCACTCTTCCAAAAACTCGTTCTAAAATCGGTCACCGTAAACCGTCTAATGCGATCTCGTAAAAGATAACAATTTCTAATGATTAATTAATTGAGGAATACGACCAGAACTTTCGGCAAATTCTCGTGAGTAGAGGAACGAAGTGCGATTAAAAACGAGTAAGTACTTCGAAGTTTTTTTATATAATTATTAATAGCAATTGAACAATTAATTTGAAATATTTAATTATAATTACTCATAGAGCAAGTTATACTTTAACGTAATAAAATTTACTGATTATTATTTTTTTTCGCTTATTCAGACTAAAGATTTAGTAACAAATAATGAATATACGCAAAATCACTCTTGTTTTTTTTTATAAAGTTAAAATTAAAAAATCAGCTTAAAAATGATTTGTTTTAGCAATGAGAAGTTTGCATAACCTTCGTTAAAGGACGTCATACGATAAGATACAGCAAACAAAAATATTCATTTAAAGGAAACTCATAGGGAAAATGAATATATATATATATATTATACTTAGTCTGAAAAGTTAACATTGTTTTTATTTTTATAGTAGATTATATATATTATAAATATTTAGTGTTTTTCCTGAATTTATATGGATATATTTCGTCGACTTTAAATGTCCGTATCTCGATTATAGGCATTCGTTACATAACACATCAAGTTCGTTTAAAAATCATCTGATTAAACATTCTCGAGTAATTTAATCTGAAAAAATGACAGAAGAACATAATCGTCAGGTAAAATATTATGATTATTATTATTTAATGTATGTTTTAATTGTAATCTTTAGAAAAAACTTTAACATCTATAACTTTTAACGTTAATTACAGATTTTAGAAAATTTATTTAACTGCATCATTTATAACTATTACATAAATTATAGAAATTTAAAAAAAAATACAAATATTTTTAAAATGTTTACAATTACAGCTATTACTACTACAGGATTATTTAAAATTCTCCATACAGGCAAAAGGTTATCTTATTATATAGGCTAATACGTCACAGAATGTGATATCCGTGAGTGTCCTTTAACTTAATTTACAGTATATATAGGCAAATAGATATTAACACGTATGATGCTACGTATATACATTCATCATAGGTGTTCCTTTTGGAAGATTTGTATTTTGTATGGAGACTTTTGAATCAAATTGTATTAACCGTAATTATATAGTTAAATATATTGTAGTTAGATTCATTAAGTTTGTTAATTTAAAACATTATGCATAAAATATTTACATATTTGAACAGGAGAGAGAATATAATCCAAAGTTTTGGTCTCGACGTGACGAACCCAAAGAAGCTTTAACAAATCACGCTTTTTTAATTCATGAAAGTATGAATGATTATTATTTTACATTTTCTCATAAATATAAACTTAGTGCTTAAGATTTAATAATTTATTTCGGTATAGTTACTGTTAAAGTAAACGAAAAAGTTCCTCATCGATCTAAAGTAAAATATGGTGATTCGGAAAGATGCGTTATGGATATCTACAGTGAAGATTTGCCAGGAAGTAAGAAAATTGGCATATAATATATTTTTATTTAAATAATAATAGTAATAATGTATTGTTTGTATAGATAACAGTGCATATAATTTATATATTCGAATTATTTATATTAAAAAATTACAGCTTCTCCAATATTTGTTTTCATTCATGGAGGTGGTTGGGTTATAGGAAAGTAAGTTATTTTTGTCACTATCATTTGCAATTTATTAATTTAAATTAAATCAGTTCGAATAGAATTCACTTTATGTAAATTACTTAAATTTTAAGTGCTTTTTCAGGAGAAAGTAATCGTATTTTATTTTTATAGGAATTATATTTTAAGTTCTTTGTAATTTTTTATTGTGTTTGTCCGCTGTTTATTATTAATTTTAAACAGTTTCGAAGGAGGAATTTATATCTTGCTTTTTCACCTTTTCAGGACATTAACTTTCAAATTTATTTTAAAAAATAAAACCAAATATCATTCGAGATCTAAGTATATAACTTAATCAAATAATAATCTTACTATTTGAATTTTCCTTAAAAATTTCCGTGAAAACTTTTGGAATTAAACGTCTAAATAGAAAGGATAAATGAATTTCCTTATCGAAATTTAATGTGTCAATCTATAAATGAAACTTCTATTATTTGATTTTAATTACTGCGTTCTATTATAAGTATATTAAATGATGAAAATGTCAATTAGATCAGTTTTCAGTTCAATTTTTACCTTTAACTTGTTTAAAAATAGACTAAAATATCGTTAGTTTTTATAATTAATCCAAAATTTTATAATTTCGTCTGATTGCTTACGTTAAATATCAACAGTATTTATTTACTGTATTTATTATTCATAGTTACAAGCAATGTAAGAGAAGACTGCTTTTTGCCAAAGGGCATGAAGTTCCATCCTCTTTTATAACACGATTATCAGAATAAAAACGTTATATAAAATACAAAAAAAAAGAAAAGAAAAGAAAAACTGTATATAATACTGTATGAAATTATCAACTTTTGTTTGTACAATCGTTTTAAAGTTTCTTTAACCTGTAAAAGCACAAACAAAAAACAATGGAAGCTTTTAGCTTAACTTCCTTCAATCAAATTTATCTTTTGTAACGTTTTTTTTCGGGAAAAAATATTTTGAGAAAATAACTTAAAATTTAAATATACACTTTATATATATATATATAAACAAAATTATATTAATAATTATCGTTATAATATTCTGTAGACTGATTCGTATTATTTTTTCGTATTTATCTTAGTAACGACCTTTACGGATACATTGCGGAACCTCTTCGGGATTCGGGAATTGTTATGATAACAATCGAATACGATTTAGCTCCTTTCGGTAAATATACGCCATTCATTCATTAACAATAGCATTTAACAGTGATTAAAATAATTATTTAATTTTAGTTTTTTATTTTAAAATGCATTTTTAAATAAAGGATGTTCCAAGTAAAACTGGCCCAGCTATTTGATTGAGTAAATTATTGTAATCTCCATATTGGGAAAAAAGGAACATATGACACAAAATAAAATTTAAAAAGAACTGTTTGAAAACTTAGTTTTATTTACAAAGCATTTCGTCGACTTACATAACCAACTCTCAATTTCGCATTTACGGGCAAAAAGGGCAATCACTTTGAGCCTGACCAACAGGGGGTCCAGCAATGTTTTATAAGAAAATATCTTCCCAAAAACATTGAAGAAAGCCAAAGAAAGAGTATGGGGCTCTGTGTATGGGGCAGACTAATTCAAATTCGCCTGCAGCTATAACGCCCCACTGCCAACTCTTTGTCGTTTGAGGCCAGATTTTATTCAATGGTGAGTGGGGCCGGTTTTACTCGAGACACCCGGTATAAAAGAGCATAAATAAACAATTATATTTAGACTATCTATTTATGATGCTTAGTTGTTATACTATTGTTACACGAGTTGATTGATAAACGTGTTATCAATCATCGCTCAACTCTACGCGTAACATCGCATTAAATCATATAAATAATTGCTATAAATTATGTGTTTGTTTATTTCAATTGATAATATAATGGCATTTATAAATAAATAAATAATTAAAGAAAGACAATGAAAAAAAGGAGAAAAGAAAAAGGGAAAAGAAAGAAAAATAGTGTATGTGCGTGACATAACGGGACGCATTGATGCGCGATGATATTCATGCTGTACGATTACAACATATAACAATTTTATATTGATATAATTTTAGTGACTTTACCTAAAATGGTGGATGAAATAAAGCAATCATTGACATTTATTGTAAATTTGGCTTGGAAAAGAGGATCAAAGTAAGCGAAATTTTAAGTTTATAATAAAATACATTTTTTAAAAAGTAACAATAATAGTATATTTCTAATGATTGATTGCTATTATTATCTTTCTTTTAGGGGAATTTATTTATCGGGACATTCTGCTGGTGCTCATTTAGCAGCCATGGCAATTTCTTCCGATTGGATGGATAATCCATTAAATAAGCGATATCTTAGAGGTCCGGAATAAAGTATTTAAGATAAAACTATTTATAAAAGTATATGTAAACCTATATAAAATTCTATAAAATATTAATATATATTTCTAGCTGTAGTTTTGATATCTGGCATTTATGATCTTTCGCCTATCATAAAGATGAGTTTTGGGGACATTGCAAATTTCACTCAGTAAGTAATTCGTGCATATATTTTAGTACTATAAAATTTAAATGATGTATATTTAAAATTATAATCTATTATCATTATTTCTGAATAATATTTTAATAAAGTTTTAANATAATTATTATTATTTTTTAAGAGAAACGGCCGAGATAAGTCCAATCAAATTTATAAACGAGATTTCAAAACGTATGAGACCCGACTTTAAAATCTTAGTGGTGGTAGCAGAATTCGATCCTCCCAAATATATCGAACAAGCTAAAACTTATCATAAGGTGCTTTAAATATATTTTAAAATTTATTCTTTGTTCATAGACGACGTCAGAGCAAGAATGATCCATGTCAATAAATCCCAATTTTGTGGTAATTAACGAAAACTTTTACACAATATTTCTCACATTTTCTTCTTTTTTTGGGCTTCGAATGTAACAACAAAAATTCGACTTTCATCTATATTGCATTAGATAAACTAGTTATTTTTAATTAAGCAAACTCCATATGATGTAACATCAAAAACCAGACTTGGATCACTCTTGCCGAAGTCGCTATAAAAATATAAAAATCCATACAAAGCCGAAATAATAAAATATTTTGACTTACAAACGTAAATATTTCTTAATTAAGTAGCATTATATTAGATTAAATATTATTATTTAGAAGGTTTTTTATGGTTTAATTCACCGGCTTATTAACTTCCTAAACAAAGAAGTAGGACGAACTTAATGCATAATGACTATTTTAGTAATATATTTTTACATTTGTCTCGAATATTTCAAAACTCTTAAACATTTCAAAGATCAGTGGGTTAAATGTCAAAATAGAAAATAAGAGCGGTAATAAAACGAGCGGTAACAATTTTCCTAAGAAAAAAGATTGCATTACCAATGGAAAATTAGGTCGCGCGACAAAAACAACAATTCTAATTTTAAATATGGTTAGTGACTTAAAAAATTATCAAAGAATTCACGTCTTTTACTAAAAATGGAAACAAAATTAATTAAGAAACATATCACAAATTACTTATTAAAGTTGCTGCTCAGTGAATAATTTACATATCTATAATCGGTTATTGACGTTATTCTAAGAGAAATCATAAGTTTATTTCATATAAATAATGATTCTAGGCATTCTAATATCATACTATCGTAAAATGATAGTACAGTATTAATATGATTTGTTTCTAAATATATATATCTAAAATCATGATTGCATTTATTTCATAGAATAAACTATAGCACATACAATAAACTCGAGGGATGAATTATTGCCGATCGTCGAATTTTTGCACTTTTATTATTGCAAAATTCGTTCAGAAATTTCTACAAAATCTTTAATTTTTCAATAAATTAACTTTTTGTACAGGGTGAGTTAGAAAGGTGACTACGTTTGGTCTCGTGGTATGCTGCATTGTTTTATTTACGAGGAACCGATGAGTAGCATTTGAAGTCTCCTTTCCAAGAAGTTACGTGTCTGTATTACATTAACAGTACCCGTATCGGCTTCCGAGATGGCATTGTATAGCAGCAATTTACAATTACATCATGGGGCGATTGCCTACAATAATGATTGAGAGGTTGTGAGACCAACGAAATGTGATCTCAATTATCACTTTCAACACTTGCTCGCAAATATAATATCAGCACACGATGAGATCAAACTTGTAGCCACCTTTCTAACTCACCTTGATTTATTTTTCGTAGTTTTTAAGTTTATTACATTAATTATAACAAAGATATCATAACTTTCATTGTTTACGTTAATCTTTACATCGAATTAAAAGATATAAATGATTTTTCTCGATTCTTTATCTTAAATCTCTTATTAAAAATGCTATTTGTTAATAGTTTATTTTTTGTCCACGTCATTTCATTGAAATATTTATTATCTATTTATATTTTCATCAAATTAGGCATTAACGAATGCAGGAGTTTCTTCTCAGTTTCTTCTTGTTGAAAACGAAGATCACTATACAATTGTAGAAAAATTATATGATAAGAAAAACATCCTAACTAGTGTAAGTTAATAGAAAGTATTTTAAAAATGATTTATTTTTAACCGCTGTCAGTAAATATTTAAATTATTGGAATTTATAATACTAAGTGGCTCAAAAATTAATTGACCAAGATATATATATATATATATTTATTTATTTATAAATTCGAATTTCTCGACCTAAGTTTTGGGTCTCATATATATAAGAAATGAAATCATATTATTAATAACATATGTATACATTTAACAGGCATGTATGAAACTCTGCAACGAGTTATACAATGATTATACTCTATTAATTTATCCCAGGTTAGTGAATGTAATTTTTTAAAATTATTCATCTTAACAATATTAATTTCCTCAGTTTATATATTTATTTGAGATTTCAAAATAATTTATATTAATTATTATTATTATTATTATCAATTAAATTATTAAAAAATTATATTTTAATTTCAGCAAATTGTAAACGCTTGCTGTAAGACTTCTGGATATGTAATAAATGACGTAATCAATATGTATATCGTGCTATTTCCACGTTTATTCTCGAACGAAAGTATCAATTATGTATAATATTTTAAATATATTATGTATATACAGTAGAACTCTGTTAAGAAGTTTTTGAAAATATTTCTTACTTGGGAAAACCTCTTATGCAGGATTTGTACTGTACAAAATAATAATACCCAAGTAATTTAGAGACCACTTCGGGTGTGCAAGTGTTTGATATACAATATAGTAAACACCTGGAGTTACTTTATTAAAACTTTACTATTTTTATAAGTGATAAAGTTATGGTGAGGAAAAAGTTTACGATTTGCCTCAAACATAAACTTCTTAAGTGGGTAAAACATCGTCGATAGGATCGATATTTTGAAATTTCTTACCCGGGAAAACTTGTTAGACGGGAAATTTTAACACGTGTCTTAAGGTGTAAATAGAAATTGGACTTCTCACTTCTTAAACGGGTTCTACTGTACTTACAGATAAACATTTGTTTACGGCAAGACAAAACGTGAGCGATCTATTCAAGGGTATGCCTCCCGGGAAACAGTACTTTCTAAGAAAAACATGCCCCTATTCGAGTATTACAAACGTGATGAAAATCCGAAAAACTCCACATGGCCTGACCCGCGGCGAAGTGCGAACCCGCGACCAGTGTTCGGTGGTTTTATTCCCTTGGCCTCTGGTAGGCACAAAAGAACAGAATAAAAACTACTCAAACATAAAGAAAGCTTAATGATTGTCTCCATTTTTGAATTACTGTCTTTGCTGTTTTCATTAGTTGTACTTTTCTCTTTTTAAAGCGTTATTGAACACTAAAAAACAAATCACATATCTTTCTTAAATGCATCGAATTCCCGATTATTCGTGCTAACTGGTGTACGGGTGTACACGGAAAACCGGAAAACACAGATAATACAAAATATCCCTGTAAACTCCAAAAAGAGACTATAAACTTAACAGTACGTTTATGTGTATATGTTACCGCTAAAGCTCGAAATCCGTTAATGTGCGCATTACCTAGCTCAGGGGTCGGCAGTTTGTCAAGTGAGAAGAGCCAAATTGTCATGAAAACAGGATAACAAAAGTACCAGAGAGCCTCATATTAATTTAAATGTGCGAAATACGACACACGACAGAGGCGCCTCTAGTGGCCGTTTTCGGCATAACGTTACACGGATGGACGGACACGCGTTCAATGGGTTATATATATAGATATGCTTCAAATGCTACCACTCTTATGAGACTCATATTGATCAACGCGAGTGTGGTCATGTGCGGAAGGAGAACAAGTCGAAGTTTGTTCGGCGGCTCTATCTCATAAACTCATAAGTTATAAGGCTGCGGTGAAATGANCCGGCAACGATATGTATCATTTTATTGTTGTATGACACAATATAATGTGTTTATACATGATTTTGAATTCCATAAGTATAGTGTTATAGGTGTAGTCAGTCTAACCACAAAGTACCGTAAGAAAATTCGTTTATAATTGAATTTCCGTCAGATGAATAAATTACTTTTTACAAAATTAAAAGACAAAGTCGTTCTAAAAATATATATTTCAGACGATTACCATTTTTACAAAGTGTTCTAGAACAAAGTACAGACAGCTGGACCTTCCTTTTTAGGCTACGTTTATAATTAGCGATATCGTTTATAATTAGCGATTATGGGATTCATGGAAATTGGTCCACTCGCTCCGGTCGTGTGCCAAACTTCCATTCATGCCGTAATCGCCTATATTATAAACTAATCGCATAATATAGCCTACTATTATTGTCGCATTAGAAAAGTATCATTAAATCTACTAAAATGCATTCATAAGTTAGTATACGTATATTAGCTTATGAAACTTTAAAGATTTAACTAATTAAATGTAAATTTTGCTGCAACAGTACCATATAAAAATCAAAAAAGTATAAAATTATATACAGTATTTATATACTGTACTTTATTTTGTTACTAGATATTTTCTCGTATAACAAAATTGAGCTCGCATATCGGGGCCTCCTATTCCTACTCCTTCCATATCTGATCTCGACTTTTATCTGCCTAACTCCGCTCTCGAGACTAAGGAAGGACAGTCAGTCGGACGACACGCGACAGCGGGAATGTATAGGTTTACAATTTTTTTTCAAAATGCAGCCCATAAAGAATTTTCGTACAGATCAATGTAAATTGACAGCAATCGGAAACTCGACTGACATGAGCGCGCGACCAGTTTATAACTGGCAATAGACTTTGCAGGGTCAACTTTGACCTCGAGTAGATCGAATTTCATTATAAGGACAATGTCTTAACGAAGCCGAAATTTCAAAATTCCGGCTTCGTTTTGATGCCAGAATTATATCTTACAAAACAGAAAAGTTTTCTTGACGTCACAATCAGATACCATATCTAATTGTGACGTACTGTAGCAAATATATGCAAATATATGTGCTACAGTACGACATCAGCCTTGTCTAGTTGTACTATAGTACTGTACAGTACATATATTTGTAAAAAAATTATGTTGTTGATCGTGCGGTTGCTGTAAACTTCGGTCAGAGCTCCGCTCAAATATTATACAGTATATCTCTGCTAAGTCAGAAAGGGTTTTGTCTGTTTATATACATACAGGGATTTTGTTTATATATAGACAAAACCCTTTATATATATTTGCCAGCATGAGAAACGATTATTCCAACGAATAATGTTTTTTTTTTTTTATTTGACTCCCATTCTATTGAAGGTACGAGTTTAGACATCTAAATATGTCACGAAAGTACGAGTTTAGACATCTAAATATGAAGATAACAAACAGCATACTGTAATAACGTTGCTGAATATTTAAAGCAATGACATTTCTCGGTTCTATTAATAAAATTGTATTTGAAAAGTCTTGAAGAAAGCTGTCCTCTTTCATTCTATTACATTAGAGATATGGTATCTGATTGTGACGTCAAGAAAACTTTTCTGTTTTGTAAGATATAATTCTGGCATCAAAATGCAACTTTACAACTAAATATTGAGACCATGGACATACGGGAACACTTTAGTTAACGGAAGAGAAGGTTGATTTGCCTAAAATTTTAGGTAATTAAAAATACAAATACTAATTTTTAATTTGCTATCATTGACTCTATCTGACTTTGTGTTTTTTTGTACTTTGTCAGAATTTGAAAGGCCAGTTACTCACCCTCTTCCCCAATTCGTATGCCTTTGGTTGGCACGATAATCTTATCTTTCTAGAAATACTTATTGCAGAAATAGCCTTTATATACGCATATACTATAAGATTTTCATATATAGTATCTGTATGTTTGCTTTGCTAAAGGAAAGCTGGGGATTTTTCCCTGACCCGGAGGAAAATTCCAGCCCCGTAGTGATTCCTACCCGTATAAAATTAATGTTATATTTATTAACAGAAAATAAAAATCTTTAAAACTGCCTTTTATTAATAAATAAACATTCAGTGTATTTCATTTGTGCGAAAGATGGAGGAAAATGGGTATGGACTCTTTAAGAGGAATATGAGTCCCGCTCTACCCACAAGCTTGGTACAAGTACTCTGGTACTTGAAAACTTGGTACAAGTACTCTGGTACTGGAAAACTTGGTACGACGGCCCTGGTTTTCTGTATAGTGTGAACTCTATACAGTGTGCATTAACCAGACTTAATTCATTTCTTCGTAGGATTGTGAAGATATAACTGAAGTGTGGGGTTCGGGGCCGTCAAGATTTATTACGTACTTTTTTGGGTAGAGTCCTGCCACCAGGTATGTTTTATCGGATACACCACCGATTGAGACGAAATAAACGATTAAGGCGCGAGGGTAAGAGTCACTCCGAAGACCAGGAATGAGCCTCTCAGGAGGGAGAATGCAGAGTCAGATATAACCAATTAAAGGAAGTTTATTAACACAAAACAGAAGTTTAGAACAGAATTATAAAATCTGATTTTTGGAAATTTGTCTATCTCTATTTATACAACGAGGGGGGTGCCTAACGGGGGTATTGGAACTACGCGACTCACAACAGGTAAACAAGATGTCTTCTCTTGTCTGTTCAGACAGTCGGTCAGTCTCTTAATCCTGTTTCACTCTCACTCAGTCTATTATTGATGCTTGCTCGTTTTTGAGCTCGTCTTCTCTTGAGCTACTCTCGCTCTGGTGCTCGTCCGTTCTCTCTCTCTCTCTCGATCTCTCTCTCTTCTTTTTCTGTCTCTCGTTTTCCGTCCCTGGTCTCTGACTATCTCACTGCCTCTAACTGCCTTTCTCTGACTGACTGAGCTTTCTCTGGTTGGAGCTCTCTTTTTAAGCACTTCCAGCATGAGAAAATTCGTCATCGGGTGATGATTCATGGGCAGTGTCGTCATCGCAGCTGAGACGGTGTTTTTTTATTTGTTGATGACATCGAACTTTCGTAGAGTCATCATAGCTGAGACGATGTTTTCTTATTTGGTAATGACATCGAACTTTCATAGAGTCATCACTGAGTTGATGTGACTCATCTTTGCTTTGAGTCAGTTCTCAATCATTATTCACTGATTACTTTGACTAAGTTCGTTTAATGTGTAAACATTGTAGAAGTCCGAGCCTCGCCACGATACTCGGCGCCGAAAACAAAGGGGGGGGGAGCAAAATGCGATGTTTCCCATTTCTTATATTTTTTTCTTTAATCCTTTACAATTTAAATTATTTAATTGCTCCTTTCTCTCTCCCTTGGCTTGTTGTGAGATTTCTGATAGTTGGATAATAAACCGTTTTATTCTTTTAATAATTTGTCTTTTTAAATTGTTTTGAGTTGATATTAAAATTTGAAAAAGGGGAGTCCCTAGATCGGTAAAATAGGCGAATTTCCTTCCACAACTTCGGTTGTTGTTCAAGATACAGTTAAGGTTTTGACAAAGTTCAAGCAAATACATAATTAGAAAAAAAAGTTGAAATACAGTGATTAAACAAAAATTATTACAAATGTCGTAAATAACAGTTCACAGATACATATATAAAGATATTTTTGGAGGGGGAAATGGTGGTCCTCACAGAAGTTTGTGAACTTTAACCGGGTAAATGAATTTATGATAAAAATATTTTAAATGTTTGTTCAATGATGAAAAAGAATAAAAATAATATATTATTTTAAATCTTAACGATATTTTTCCTCTATAATTTTTATAACCATTTATTAATAAATTACATAAAATCGTTTAAAATGTACAGGATGGTCCAAACATCTGTTAACTGTATTGTGTTTCTCGGTTCATTTGTGAATAAAGTATTTGATTAAGACGAGCAATTTAAGCTGTACGTACGGTTAACTGACTTTTGGGCCGCACTATATATATATATATATATATAAACATACATGCAATTATTTAAAGTATTAAATATGAGATCGCGTATTACTAAAAGAAGTAGATAAATGTTAAACAATATTTATAAATTTTAATTTTATTCTTTTATTACCAGCTTTTTATTTAAATAAAGAAAACATCATCTTTCTCTCTCTCTCTCTCTCTCCCCATATAAAAGATGGTAGAGGAGAAGGTGGTATTATGGAACCCCAATTACATTTTAGTGAATTGTAAACAAGGTATCATAACTACACCCACATTTTTTGTGCGAAAAGTACTGGTAACTAGTAATCTAAATGTTCCTAATTGGATTTTTCGCTAGTGTAATTATAAGTATGGTTTTTGAAGGCTTTTGTACAAAAAGTCCGAAAGTAGGCTTAGAGAAAATCGGGTGGTAATATGGAACCTTACTGTATATTTTCAAAAAAATGCTTTAATGTAGCCAAAAACAAATAGGAAAGGACAAAAAATGTTAAATAATTACAAAATTATTTACTCCAATGTATTTTATCGCAAAAATGCTTTTATAATAGAAAAATATGACCTCCATCAACAATATATATTCCAGCAGCTCTTTTTCGATATTTTCAGACTTTCTACCTAGTGTCTTTTTCCCAAATTGCTCCGGACGAATGTCTGATTGCAAAGAGAGAGTTCGGAGGAGTTGAGTTCCATATTACTGTAAAAGCACCAAAGGGGTCCGTATTTCACGCATCGCCATCTCGAATTAACTTATGTCTGTCGAGACCAAAATTTAAAAAACGTGAACATCACACAGATTAATATGTACCCCTAAGTCTCTGGAACGGAATACATGCACCAGTGAACCTACAACTACGCGATTTATATTTTAAAAATAATTAAATTCACTTAGCATTCAAAACTTGTGAATTTTGAAAAAAACAAATTTGCTGATTAAATACGGACAACCGTTTAACTGAAGTAAAACGGATTTTCCCTTTGCTATGGATGTCTGCCTAGTTCAGTTCAGCCACATTCCGCTACAGTTCGCCTTTATTATCAGTTCGAAATGGGGTGGTTCCATAATACCCGCAGTGTTCCATAATACCACCTTCTCCTCTACAGTATTTCTAATTATAGATCTTTAGGATGTTACACGTAGCTATGCATTCGTAACGAAATTTATAGATTTAACTTAAATTAGGAAAGTCATTTTGAGTTTCTGAGATTAATCCTACACACAATTTTATGATAAGCACATGCCTTATAGTAAGTAACTCCTAAACATATATATTTTTATACTGTATCAAGTTGTGTAGAGAATTGATCCAGGACTACTCAGCTTAAGAAAAATAAAATCTAAATTTAGCATTTTCGACATTTCTTAACTCCTACATTTCTTTTATTCTTACGATCATATATCATATATAGATATATATCATATAGATCATATATCATATAGTCATCAAGATAACTAGATACTAGTTGTGAAAATTTTCTACACACTGGTAATTCTCTATACTAAAAATACCTTTCAGCGTATACAAATGATACCTCGATATATTTAATCTAAAACTTATGTAGTGAGGATCTAACGAAAAAACGGAAGAGATTGATTTCGCGAAAAGGAAGTCGTACTAATTTTCCGCTACTACGTGTTTTTAAAGTATCACAGAAATGATCCTATAAAGAAAATCTGCGTGGAAGACACGGTTTATTCTTGTGTCAATTTTAACAAACTGTATGATCCCTTCTTGATTTTCGCTATTCATGGATAAACGTAACATACCGAGTCAAGAAATTTGCATTGCTTAGAAGAGGGCTTTTTACATAATTCATTCTGTATAAACGAATTGAATAATAAAATCTTATTAAAACTAGCAAAAAGTTATATTAAAATTTTCTCATTATTTACGCTGAATAAATATAATATGCTATTACTATTTATCTTATAGTTTTCTATCAATTTCCCTTAATATATAGAATGAATAAGAAAGTCCTTCTTTAACTTTCTGTTTTAATTATAAAATAAAACGGTTTCCTATTCTACTAGGTTTAATGATAGCCTATGAAAAATTCCTGGGAAGTAGCTCGTGCGGATTCGCCTGCGAAGTGACGCCTTAACCGCCTCTATCAACATTTTTACATTTTCATTCACTTTCATTATTAAATATGATAATTATTACATCTCACATAAAACAAAATAATAAAAATTATTACTAAAAATGAAAGTTATTGGTAATTGAAATGCGCTGCCGTGTTTTTCGGTAATTCAAAGACACCGAATAACATATAGCCGTAGAATATTAAATGATAAATAAATACAGTACTTATATATATTTAATTATCTATATTTACTTTTAAATTGAAATAACAGAAAAAATTACATAAATATAATAACTTACCGAAGAGCAAACTTCTAAAGTACAAAGATAAATAGATTATCATCAAAGTCGAACAACTTTCTGATAAGTATTCTAACGTATACAAGTATTATTAACAAAACGTCGATCAAAATGTCCGATATAAAATTATTTAGCGAAGAAGAAATTCGTGAAAAAGCTCATTTGATGGCACGAAATTACATAGGAGGAAGTTGGAAAAATGCGAACACATCAAACTTAATAATTCGAGAAATCAAGTAGGTGCAATTTATATTATTCGCGGGCAAAGAAAAATTACCCAAAACGATTACTGAATGTTAATTCAGAAGCAAAATACAAAATTTCACAAAAAAAAACTTTAGTTACCTGTTTAAAAGATCGACATGGCTCTCATACTTGTAAAAATTAATATTCTACGTATGGATATAATTTCTGTCGATAATTAATTTCGCATGTTATAGGAAATATTCTTAAAATCTTTTGGTAAGTCATTAAAGATTGTTATAAAAATATAAAATTTGTTAATTTGATCTAACGTGATGAATATACAGTACATGCAGTTGTATTTATGAACAGAAGTGACGTGAGGATAGGCTGGTGCGTACCCAAAATTCTCTGTCCATCCGTCGCCCACCCTTACATAAATCCTAGCGCCGTCTCAAATAATTAAACCCTTCTAACTCGAACTAATAAAAGTAAACGTTGTTCGAGTTTACGAAAGTGTTAGCGGAATGTTTTCTCCCACGACGTGAAAAAACGTGAAGAAAAATATTAATATATAATAGGCTACAATAATTTATTACAGAAGTTTTACTGAGCCTTATAGGATATACTGCCAAATTTATTATTACAAGAAATAAGCTCAAAGAATTTCATAACTATAATATGCAGCAATGTAAAGTCTTTAGTAATTTTAATGCACGGTATCGTAAAGACTTCCGGATGTCGAAAAACACTCGTTAATTATAACTTTTTTATTGCCAAGAAATTTTAAATTACTGCATAGTTTTCGAAAAAAAATTGTCTGGGTTGGTGGGGCTTACTGTATAGTACGTTCCATGATTAATAGATGAACTTTGTAACGTAGACATTAATATTCTATGTATGGATATAATTTTTATCGATGGTTAATTTGGCTCTATAATTAATGGCGACTATAGGGCAGGAGTGTTCTCCCTTTACAACAGTGAAGAAATGAATGACACGTTTCTGAACTGACCATTTCGAAATAACAGATGTGTTACAATTCAGCAATGACAGATGAAATTCGAATTGCTGGACCATTCAGCCTATTCACCGGATCTCCCCCTAACAGATTAACATCCCTTCCCAGCTATAAAAAAAAACATCTGAAGAGGATGAGATTTGCTTCTGATCCTTGGGGTTTTAGAGGGCTGGTTTGCAGATCAACCTAGGAAGTTCTTTATGTAGAAGTAAAACAATTGGAGAAATGCCGTAATAAGTGCGCAGGCTTGAAGAGTGATTATGTTGAATAAAATATACTCAGTTTATTAAGTTTCCTTTACCTTCTAGGTAAAGTCGCAATTTTTCAGCATCTTCCCTTATATGTGTCTGAAAAACTTGTATTTTCTCTTCCAAATGTATAAAATTCAAGTTTTATAAACGAATTATATAACGCATACGAAGAATTTTGGTAGGTAATACTGCATATTTGGTATATCCTCAGTTCATAAACTAACTCCTTAATAATAATTATCTATTACAAATAATGACAAATTAAAGATTGCAAAATAATAATAATTGTAATTAAACTTTAATATGATTCTAATCCCATAATTTTTCTTTCTGCAATATACTATCAAAATATTATTTTCATGAAAGCTCTATGTAATTTATTATAGAATTTCCCCTACAAGTTTAATTTATTACTGTTCGTTGAATGATGATGAAAATCCTTCGGATGATAAAGGACCAACAGAAATAGTATTTCGAATATTTCGAATGGAACACGAAGTGGATTACGACAAAATTGCAACTAAAGCCATTATTTTCACTCTGCTCTCAGAAAGAAAAATTGGACCCAAATTGCTCGGTATTTTTGCCGAATATAGATTAGAAGAATATATACAAGTAAGTTTATACATTAAAAAATACCTTCTAATGAACAGTATAAAATAATAATTGATGGTATTATAGGGTGATGGTCTAACTTATGAAGAGTTATCAAATCCAAATACTTCCATCGCAGTAGCTAAACATTTAGCTAAACTTCACTCGTTGCAACTTCCTATCGAGAAAAGAATAACAATTTTTAAGGAAACAAAAAGGTAGAAAAAAAATATCACTATTCGTAAAATTAGAAATTATTAGTTAAAAATTTAATACTGTTTTTCTGACAAATTAATTATTTAGATATTTATCAGAAAAATCGCAAGAAGAATCTTCGAAAATTTCTGAACTTATTTCGTCATTTAATCTGATGGATGAATTAGAATGGCTAACGTAAGGCATTTTTGTATATTATTAAGTTCGACTTTATATTTAATTATATTAATTGTTTTAGATAAACAATAAATTCTATAAGAGAATAGAAAACTTAAAATATTTTACAACTAACAATACATTATAAACAATTATCTGTGATACTGTTTCGAATTAGAAGTGACTTACTTTGCTTTAAAAAGTATTTTCTTAAAGTTTTTAATTTGGTCTTTAATAAATATTTAAAGTTTTAATCTATCGAAATTATCAAATACATAGCAAATCTTTGAAATCCAAAGAGAGAAAATTTCTTGGAGTTTAGAACAGAAAAATTGGAGCTAAAGTAATAGAGCAATCTCTCATTTGTTATAATGAACAAGTCATTAATAGATCTGTTGTAAAATATGATTTTTTGAAGTCTGGAATCGAAAATTATACCAGTTTTCAGGAACTGCGTACTTGAATAACCTTTGTTTTTTCTGTTATAAAGTTCCAAATTGTTTCGTATCAGAAAACAAAACATTGTAATACGCTATTTTACTTCCTGGTATATTAGGATATCAGGAAATAAAATATCAGGAAGGTTTTGTTTTCGGAATTTTTCCCAAATAATATTAAAAAAGATTTCGTTATCCTTGTCGCGCTTATCAAATTATTTGGAATTTTAATTCGGAGAAAAATATAAAACGTGTAACAAAATCAAACCTTTATGATCTTCCTTTAAAGGAAATCAAAGTACAAATCGTGTATCTTTATTCCCTTTCTCTCTTGAATATTTATATCTTATACATTTTATTCCTCAGGGAAAAAAAATTTGACAAGGGTTCCTGCTCGATTTTCCCGGCAGTCGAACAGTGAATTAAGGGGATCATTAGGAAGTCCCATACTTTTCAATAATACTACGACGTAAAATTTTAATAATAACAAAAGTTTACAGGGAGTAATTTTGATAAATTACGATAAAAATCTCCATTTAAAAAATATTTAAGTTTAAAAACTAGTACGACATTAACTCAAAGTTAAAAAAATTGTTTGTCGCCATCTGTTATGAAATTTTTCCCCGTTCAAAACTTTTTATTTTATTAATTTTAGTAAAAATGCTTGATTTTGAGGGTAGAGACGAATTTCTAAAAATATTCTCAATGCCAATAACGATTAAAATTTTTATTAAGTTTGACCCCACCCGTAATACGATACATGAACCTATCTTCTCACCTTTCAAACTTTAACCAGCAAAATTTACTAGCATCAATGCCCCTTATATACAAGTTACCGAGCCAAATTTCGTTTTTTTTTAATCTTTACCCTATCCTGCGATATTAAACAAACACACAAGCATACAAGCACATAATTCCCTCCTTTTCTTGTCTTTGCTGGGTTCAGGGGTCTGAAAATGTCGAGATTTACGACATAAACTCGGAGGTCAAAGTTGACACGATTCCAATAGAGGAGAAGGTGGTATTATGGAACACTGCGGGTATTATGGAACCATGTCATTTTGAACTGATAATAAAGGCGAACTGTAGCGGAATGTGGCTGAACTGAACTAGGCAGACATCCATAGCAAGGGGAAAACCCGTTTTACTTCAGTTAAACAGTTGTCCGCATTTAATCAGCAAATTTGTTTTTTTTTTTTTTTTCAAAATTTGCAAGTTTTGAATGCTAAGTAAATGTAATTATTTTTAAAATATAAATCGTGTAGTTGTAGGTTCACTGGTGCATGTATTCCGTTCCAGAGACTTGGGGGGTACATATTAATCTATGTGATGTTCACGTTTTTTAAATTTTGGTTTTGACAGACATAAGTTAATTCCAGATGGCGATGCGTGAAATACGGACCACATTGGTGCTTTTACAGTAATATGGAACTCAACTCCTCCGAACTTTCTATTTGCAAGCAGACATTCCTCCAGAGCAATTTGTGAAAAAGACACTAGGTAGAAAGCCAATTCTTCCCGAGAATATCGAAAAAGAACTGCTGGAATATATATTGTTGATGGAGGTCATATTTTTCTATTATAAAAACATTTTTGCGATAAAATACATTGGAGTAAATAATTTGGTAATTATTTAACATTTTTTGTCCTTTCCTATTTGTTTTTGGCTACATTAAAGTATTTTTTTGGTAAGGTTCCATATTACCACCCGATTTTCTCTAAGCCTACTTTCGGACTTTTTGTACAAAAGCCTTCAAAAACGATACTCATAATTACATTAGCGAAAAATCCAATTAGGAACATTTAGTTTACTAGTTACCACTACTTTTCGCATAAAAAATGTGGGTGTAGTTACGATACCTTGTTTACAATTCACTAAAATATAATTGGGGTTCCATAATACCACCTTCTCCTCTACTTTCCCCTATATATACATAACAGTTTTATCCGAGTTTTCAGTTATCTGAGGTAGCGTATATCCACATTATCACGGATAATCGAGGTTTTCCTTTAGGGACTTCCGGATGGTCGAACGGTTATAGTGTCAGTCTTAACCGCACCCCGAGGATTCAGGAACGAAACCGAGCGAATCAAAGAATCCCAGGAATTTTTCGGGGGTGTCCAGATGTGTTGGGTCCCATCCCTCACCACACGACTGCCCCATTATTAGCCTGGACGAACCCATGATGGGCTTGGTAAAAAGTATACAAGGTGAAGAGTAAAAAAAGTACAGAATCTAACTTTTCATTTTTTTTAAATAGAAATAAGCTGGAGAGTATGAAACTTTCCGTAGTTTTCTCCCACAATAACTTAAATGCATGTAAGTAAACTATTTTGATATATTTCAATAATTTATTTAGACATTTAAATTAAAAATAAGTTGTTTGAAGATCGTGCCAGAAGAGAATTGTCTTCTTAATTATTTTAAGGTTTTACTGTGATAATTATTTTATATTTCTTTTTCCAGCCAATATTAGGATCGAAAATAATAATAAGTTTTGTATGGAAGATCGAATAGTATTCTTAGGATTTTCTCGATGCTCTTATAACTACAGGTAATTATACAGGATGTTCATTCGGATCTGACCTTATAAAATTGCGAATAACTCCAGAGCGTAAACGTAAAGGCACGCTGTAAAAAGCTGAACATATTTTATTTAATGTCAAAATCCATACTACAAAAGGTCCTTCCTCAATGCCCAAACACAATGCAACTCGGGAATTTCCTCGCCGTCGATGGTAGCAATTTCATGTTGAATGTTTTCTATCATTTGTTCGACAGTCTTGGGTTTGTTTGCATAAAACTTGCCTTTCAAATGTCCTCATAGAAAGAAATCTGGCGGACTTAAATTGACGATCGTGGTGATCAAAAACCTGTTGAAATGACCTTACCTCCAAATAACGACTGGATCTCTTCCACGCTGGCATGAGAAGTATAGTACGTTGCTCCTCTTTATGACATACAATCAATTCTGTATGAATAGTGAACATTTTGAACCCTATTTCGTGTTGTTACATGCACGTGTCGCAGAGTTATTCGCAATTTTAAAGGGTCAGCTCCGAATGAGACACCCTGCTGTAGTTTAACTATAATAAAAAATTGACTATATTTATTTTTAAAATGTCTGAATTATAATTTCTAAATTATAATCATAAATCATACTTGACAATTCCTAACAATTAGAGAATTAAACATCTTTACTTTTTAATTTTAATAGAGCTTATGACATTGCCGAATATTTTTTTCAATGGTGTATTGATTGTCCGAAGAATCCATTTCATGTAGAAATTAATTATAAACGTTATCCAAATTTAGAACAACAGGTAAATTGAAAATAGATATTTAATAATAAATTCTTAGTATTAACCATAAAATAAAACAAAAATATAAAATCACACAAATATTACATTTATAAGATCAAATAATATATCATACAGTCGACCCCCTATAACACTGTTGATTTTTCCGTTTTATATGAATTCCATGTTGTACGAGTCACTTAGATTTTACAAATACGTGTGCCGGGCTGTAAACGGCTCACGTATTTGTAAAATCTAAGTGACTCGTATAACATGGAATTCATATAAAACGGAAAAATAATCAGTGTTATACGGGGGTCGACTTGTATATAAAATAAAACAAACTGAATAAAATATTTTTAAACGTATTAAAATTATTTATAAGGCAGAAAAAAAAGGAACCAACCAAGTTTTATAAGTTATGTAAAGAAGTCATATTTAAAATTTATTTAGAATTTTCATAAAAATTTCTTAAATTTAAATAATAAATATATTTTATAGTTATTGTTCATTAGAACTTATTTAACTTGGAGCTGTTGGCCTATTAATGAACGTAATAATCCTTCCAATATGGAAGATCATCTTTTAAATGAGTTAAAAGTACTCCGTTTGGCATCTCATCTAATTTCCATTTCTAGAACTGAAGATTATTCAAAGAAATATTTCAATTATTTGGTATGTTTTTATATTTAACTTAATTCTTATGTAATTTATATATATAGAGTTAATTTTACACATTACAATCAATGCAGATTTCTTCGACATTTTATTCTGAAAGACTGAATAGCGTTAACAATTTATGAATTAATTCCCATACACACGGTGTCGTTTATTAATATAAATAATTCTATAAATAAAGTGTAATATGTTATACATTTATCATACGTACTTAAAATTCGTTATTAATTTTCCAATTTTTCCGTGGATTCACATTTCTCGGATGCTTTTTCACTTCGTATAATACTTTCATTATATTTAAACAAAATGGATGCCGATTCTACGAATTACGTAATACATCGAAATCACGTGGTTTAAGTTCTCGAAGTTCATTGGTTGATTTGGGAAAAAACAGACGACAAAAATCTACTTGTTCCGTCTTGTCGCCTGTCTTATGATTTTAATTAATAAAAAAGAATTCATAAAAATAGAATTATATGGAAATTATTATTAGAAATTGAGTGAAATTATTTCTTGTGGAAAAATTGCCTGTATATCATACAATACAGTTGAAAAAATAACAAAGTACAGATATCTTATAACACGATAGTTACGTTTCGAAAAAGTGCCGTGTTACGCGAATCCGTGCTATACGAAACATAGGACTAATGCAAAACATAGGGTTACGTTCCAAAAGTTAATAAAAGTATACTATTATTTTTTGTTACCAAGAGAAATGTTTATTAAAGCAATCAATAATTAGCTAACAATCACAATTAAATGTACTGTATTACGCGTTAATATTAATTAATTTTAGTTAAACCAGGGCGTTTTCTTTATACAAAGTATCATCATCATCTGAGCTTTTTCTTGATCTTGATCAGAAATATCAACGTCTTCATTTTTTTATTTATTTATTTTTACCATAAAAATTTTATGTATAACATGTTATTAATCGAAAATTTGTTTTAGTGGACCGCGTTTATTCAATCGAGAACCGAGCAATATTTTTTTCAGAATTTGTGTTCGAATACCGAATTGTTCGAGTTGGAAACAGTTCGAGTACCGAGATACTGTTGTATTTCTTTCGTCATTTTTACGAATGATTACGTACTATACCTACGGTTAAAAAAGGTTAATAACACTTACCTGAAAATGTTTAAATAAACTTTATAATACGAAGATGAATATAAAATATACAGTGGGTGGTCGGTTAACGAACAAATCGGATAACGAACACTTTCGCGAAAGATTTTTATGTTTGGACAACGAACACATGTTCGGATAACGAACAAACATAAGAAGAAGCGACGTTAAAATAATGAATACCGATTGGTCTTCCTTTGTCTTCAGGCAACAATTCGAAACTTTTCGGAGCGCGGGAGACGATGGCATTGATGCTCAACTCGGTACATACTGATCAGATAGTATTCCTCCAACTTTTGAACTCTCCCTTGTAATTCCAGCCTTTTGTTTTTCTGACAGAAACAATTCTTTTATAGTATTCGCGAGACTGTCGGGCGGGCACTCGTTAAGTTTTGTATCGGTTTTTATTTTTGAAAGGTGAGAGTATAGTAGCAAAGGTAGAATGGGCAGAAGATGTCTGATGTTGCTGGGCAGTATGGCTTGAACAGGTCTATAGTAGACCGCAGTTCAATCTTATCTAAGAAAGATACAGTATGATCAAGAAAACTCAAGCAGGTAAAGGAGTAACAAAAATCACATCTGAGAAATATAGAACATTGAAGAGCTTATAATGGAACCTTAAACTGATCTATGGACAGAAGAACACCAAGAAACTCGGCGAGATATGTTTTCTTCTGAAAAAGAGGATTAATGCCGATATCTACTTTTAAACATCTTTTGAAGAAGTGGGAGGATGTCAGAGTAACGGTCTATTCTAAGACCGTAAATCGATAATCGGTTAACGAACAATTCGGATAGCGAACAGTCTTGGAACGGATTATGTTCGTTAACCGATCACCCACTGTATATATAAACACAGAGTCTTAAGGGCTAAAGTTTGATCGACGGCACCTGGTCGATAGGAAAGTTAGGACAAGGAAAAAACAAATTTCACTATCAGTTTTCATTAAAGTAAACCTGACGAAAGGCACAAATCCACTTGAAAGTTTCAATATTTTAAAATTCATGGAAAATTTTGAGACTGCACATATGCTTACTTGAATAAAAAAAATATCGAATAAAAGAGTTTACACTTAAAAGTTCTGAAAGTTTGTACAGAGAATTTTCAAATTCTCGAACCGTGTCAGAGCGAAACCAGAAACCGTGTTTGTTGTACGAGGATTTCTCCAATTTTCGAGCAGTGTTGTAATTTTAACTGCTTTAAAAATATTCTATAAAATTTTCACTTTCGTTCCAATTTCAAAACTCGTTCCTAACGGTAATAATCGTAGACATGGCAACAACGTTGTTAGATAGGAGGATAATGATGACAGTAATGCAATTGAAAGTTGCTAACGCGACAATGAGAAGATATCAAGGCAATAACTTGGATTATAGATTTACATCTGAAGTACTGTACAATACATGCAGTTGCCAGCTGCAATGGCGTCTGTCAAATGATCCTGGTATCAAGCAAGATACAACCTCACTTTTTGTCCCAAAGACTGTCCACAATGTTACACAACTGTACCCGGATCTTGGTAGAATTGTGTTACATTACACCAGAATTGAACAGTTATCATATTTGGAACATAAAATTGCATTATTAGATTACTTTTCCAATTGTATCCTTTCCCAATTTTTTAATGTCTCTAACAAAATCCGAATCAGAAAATCTATTTCGTTACCAGTTAGATTTATCTGGTTTATAAGTCCATTGATAAATCTGTGCTGGTAAACTTAAATTCTGAGTTTAGTATTATTACAAAACGTTACTGGTAACAAAATTAACGGCATACTACCGTACTATTTTGCGCGAAAAAGTATCATCTGCATCTCTATATCCATAGCATTGATATATATATTATATGCATAGTATTACTATGGATATAGAGATAAGAGTGCAAGGAAAGACAAAATATAAGTCTGATATCAGTCGAAATGTGTTTGTGTATCACTATTCATGACCATATTGATGATAATTTGAAAAGTCAACTGTCATAATTTTCGTTTCGTTTCGTTTAGCCGCTAGATTTTAGTTTACTTTTTTTCAAATTTACATTACTTTTCCTATCTGAAAAACTTATTCACAGTTATCATTACAGACATTAGCCGTGTTTTTATTAATTTAGCCATAACACAATGTGAATAAGATGGACGTTGTTTAGAATATCTTAGGTATTCACTGGTCTAGTCAAAGATATAGTTCAGGATTATTTTGTATGTCTGCTATTTTTTTCTAAAGAGAAACTTGGGTGTATGCTTAAAGTATTGTGGAAAAACGGCATAATCTAAAACTATGTCTCTCTAAAAATTATTATTATTATTATGAAGGCAGAAAAACCAAGTAAATGAATACCACCGATACTACTAGTGTGAAGCCAAATATGGTCATTTACTGATACAAAACGTGTAAAAGTTACTCTTATCCATTCACTGGCATGATTTTGGCTGTAATTTGATACACAAACTTCGAATTCTAGCGAATGACCCGTGGTAATCATTTACTAGTAAGTTAGCTGGTCATTTAGTGGTTGAGTCACGCTACCACGAAAATAATTAGCTAGAACAAACAATAAATAAATGCAAGTTCTCACGCAACTGACTGAACACATTTTAGTAAAAAATTAAAAAAAGATACTGACTTGTAAACTATAAATGTCGTCTTTGAAAGCAAACATATCTCCCAAGTACAGGAAACCAAACCATATATTTTCTGAATTAAAATCAAATATAAAGATATTAGTTGCCAAAATAATAAATTATGCAGTCTACTTTCTTTCTCTTTAAAGTTTTGTTCGTTTTGTACAATGTGATGGATGACCCCTTCATTTTTTTTTAAATATCTGGATAAATTTAATTTGTAATTGTTTTTAGTAGTTGTATTTTAATTTAGGATTCATTACTGTTAAAGAGGGATGTTAATCTCTACAATTCTTCTTAGACTAATGTAAAAATTAAAGTTATAAGCATGCCAATCAGTATTCGATTTCTTTGTAAGAATCATGAATTCTTCAAAATGTCAAAAGATTGTTAAAATAATAATAAATAAAAAAATTTGTAAATTATTTTATGATAAAAATATATTAAACTATCAATAATATAGAATTATCATAACCATCATCGTCTCGAGAAAATTATTAGTTTAACTATAGTAATTTCCTTCATCATTATATCTAGAATACTTGAATGATAAAGGGGAAAAGTTCAGTAATTCGACGATAAGATGATAAACTGGAAGTCCTAATAATGTCGATAACTAGTATTTTAATGCTCTTATAAATGATGCAAAGACTGAGTGCTTCAATACTTCAAGCATACATTGAGTTCTTAAAATTTGTATTACAAATTCTACATTTAAAAAAAAAAATAACTTTACAGATAATAAACTTTAAGTGTCCCAATAAAATTTATCATTAAAAAATGTAATTACTCCAAATTACTCATCAATGCTTCATTTTTGTAGGGTAATAAACTAACATTAAACTTCATCTTTTGTTTAGAGAACATTGATTTCATAATATTTTGCCTTTTTAAACGACTCAGATTATTACTGATTAAACATGCATTCCTCTAAATTAATTTTCAATAGATTATTTATTTTTTAAAATAAATAACAAACAAATTTAAATTATTATTAAGAATTCCATGCAGTATTATTTTAAATATTTTATTTGTTTCAACAGGATTTCATCAAAGCTAGAATAGAACGTTACTTTTATGAAAAGAAAAAGTTCCTACAGGAGTAAGAATCAAAGATATCATCTAAAGAAATGAATGTATGATGAAAATTTTGTATAGTTTATTGACAAAAGTTGAAATTATACTTTATTTCCACCACAAAAAAGAAACTTATAATGTATTATATAGTTGTAATAATTAAAATATTTAAAAAAAAATTAATTTTTTTTTTAATTCTGGATAATTCTAAATTATGAGCAATTCTTTTAGATTTTATCCTAAAGATACTTGGAAATACTTTTAAAATCACAGATTATATCGATACCGAAATGTTTCATATTTTAGAATTAAACCAGAATTTTATATTATATTATTATTATACATGTTGTAAATATTGTGTTATATAAATTGTTAACTAAACATATGATTATGAATAAAGCAATTTAAACAGGATAGAAATAAAATAAGAAAATCAGAAACACCATCCATTTATTTACCAAATATTCACATTTAAGAAATAGGACAACACATTACAATAAAGAATGACATATCACCAAATAATAATAAACAAGATAAACAGTTGAAATAAAAAATACTTTCCTGTCCAATTTATCCGTAGCATGTGCAGATTAAATACATATTTCACAATCAACTCCTTTGTATACTGAATTTTACAGTCTCTGTCTGTCAACTTTCAGCATACTGTTTCATAATATTCACATATCTTCCTCTGTGCATCACATTTTTTTTTTTTTTCCATTTATTGTAACTTTTTGACTGATGTTGTTCTAATCATGATTCTACAAAAACTATTAAAAAATATGAAAAGAAGTACATTATGAATGATATAAAATTCTACTTTAAATTCCCGATTAAATGATTTACCGATATTTTACATTGTGATTTTTTTTTCCAATAGAAGAAATACTGCCATGATATTAACTATATAACACTAAACTATTTTCTGATGTAATTTCGACATTTTCATGCAGATGAGAAGGAAAAATAAATAATATTTGAAATAATTAGAATTTTAAATATCAAAATGCTTCTTCTATAAACTTTTATATAGTATTATCTTTAAAATTAATAAAATTTAAAGAATCCAAAGAAATTTTCTGAATGATAATAGAAATATTATTAACACAATTCATGTAATTTTGTCTTTCAGACATCACTTATAAATTTTTTTTTTTTTAAATTAATTCGTAAAATATTTTATCAACAATTTCAACAAGTCAGAAGAATTCTTATTCGAAATCTGTTCCAACAAAAAAAATTCCATCCATTCTAAATTAAAAAAAAAAAAAATATTTCAGTGAAATAACAACATTATGTTTTAAAAAATTTTTAATCTATCACAGTTTAAATAAATAAAATTATTTAAAAACAGTTACTTATTTTAACATGATTTTAGAAAGTATTTTTAAAATAATATTGTTAATACGGAAACTAAGTAATAAATTAAATAGTTAATTCTATAATTGAAAATTTTATATGGTTTATATAGATAAAGATATCGTCTAGCATTTAAATTACATACAATAGTACATTTAAGTCAAAAGAAATAGAAAATTATAATTCTATATATTACAGATTGTCCATTCACCATTAATATGAAAAAAAATAATATATTAAATATTGATATTTCACTGAAATCCGTAAACTGTATACAATTTATTTATACGGCAATAAATTTCTTAACTTTCTGTTAACTTAAACAACAACAACAATTAACCAAACAAGTTTCTATATAAATGCAATATTGCTTGTGCAAAAATAAACCTCAAAATCCCATGTTTGAAATAAAATTTCAACAGCATATATTGCTACAACTTAATTTATGAACATAACAAATGTATATAAATCTTAAAGAAAATGAAAATTTTGATTTCATGAAAAATGACACTTTTTTTTTTTGACAAGGTTAAAATATAAATACCATTTTTAAATGGACAAAATTCATTTCTCTAAGAGTCTGAAAAAATTCCTTTAAATTTGGAATTTAATGAACATTTATTCCTAAACTTTTGGGGAACATAAGATACATTCCTCATGCAAAGTTATGAAAATGTTTAATATGCATTTACCATATTACTGAAAATTTATATTTAAATACCAAAAAACTAAGATCTTTCTATAATAATTTAAATAGTATATAATATCTCTAAGTTCCAATTATTACATATTTAAATTTAATAAATATTTTGATCACTTGTATAATAAAAAAACTGACATTAAAATCAAACATTTTTAGTTTATAAAACTTTAAAAATTAATTATATCATCTTTTGAATAAGAACTGTTGTGAAGTATAAATGCAGTGCAGTTAATGCCAGGTTATTCTGCCCTTAACTGGACATCAACATTGTAACTTACAGGTTTGTAAATTTACATCCCTTGGGACTAAGAATGTAAATTTTTCATATAAATAATTGTTTTAATCAATTTTGGCACAAACTTTTTATAGATAAATACTGTAATAGGTCACGTTTCAAATATAGATTTTAAATTACAGTACCAAAATATTAAAGATATTAAGAAGAAATGCTGGATGTAAGATGATAGTCAGCAGTCTGGATCGGCCGTTCCATAATTGGAGTTTTTGTAATATAATTTATATCCGATTCTAATATTTTAAATAGTTTAGATTAATTGTAAATCAATTTTCAAATTGAAAATTTAATCTATACAAATCTTACAATCTTAAATTATTATTCATAAACAACTTTCCACATCATCATCATTCCAAATTTTAGTTATATTATTATTATACATGTTGTAAATATTGTGTTATATAAATTGTTAACTAAACATATGATTATGAATAAAGCAATTTAAACAGGATAGAAATAAAATAAGAAAATCAGAAACACCATCCATTTATTTACCAAATATTCACATTTAAGAAATAGGACAACACATTACAATAAAGAATGACATATCACCAAATAATAATAAACAAGATAAACAGTTGAAATAAAAAATACTTTCCTGTCCAATTTATCCGTAGCATGTGCAGATTAAATACATATTTCACAATCAACTCCTTTGTATACTGAATTTTACAGTCTCTGTCTGTCAACTTTCAGCATACTGTTTCATAATATTCACATATCTTCCTCTGTGCATCAATTTTTTTTTTTCATTTATTGTAACTTTTTGACTGATGTTGTTCTAATCATGATTCTACAAAAACTATTAAAAAATATGAAAAGAAGTACATTATGAATGATATAAAATTCTACTTTAAATTCCCGATTAAATGATTTACCGATATTTTACATTGTGATTTTTTTTTCCAATAGAAGAAATACTGCCATGATATTAACTATATAACACTAAACTATTTTCTGATGTAATTTCGACATTTTCATGCAGATGAGAAGGAAAAATAAATAATATTTGAAATAATTAGAATTTTAAATATCAAAATGCTTCTTCTATAAACTTTTATATAGTATTATCTTTAAAATTAATAAAATTTAAAGAATCCAAAGAAATTTTCTGAATGATAATAGAAATATTATTAACACAATTCATGTAATTTTGTCTTTCAGACATCACTTATAAATTTTTTTTTTTTTAAATTAATTCGTAAAATATTTTATCAACAATTTCAACAAGTCAGAAGAATTCTTATTCGAAATCTGTTCCAACAAAAAAAATTCCATCCATTCTAAATTAAAAAAAAAAAAAATATTTCAGTGAAATAACAACATTATGTTTTAAAAAATTTTTAATCTATCACAGTTTAAATAAATAAAATTATTTAAAAACAGTTACTTATTTTAACATGATTTTAGAAAGTATTTTTAAAATAATATTGTTAATACGGAAACTAAGTAATAAATTAAATAGTTAATTCTATAATTGAAAATTTTATATGGTTTATATAGATAAAGATATCGTCTAGCATTTAAATTACATACAATAGTACATTTAAGTCAAAAGAAATAGAAAATTATAATTCTATATATTACAGATTGTCCATTCACCATTAATATGAAAAAAAATAATATATTAAATATTGATATTTCACTGAAATCCGTAAACTGTATACAATTTATTTATACGGCAATAAATTTCTTAACTTTCTGTTAACTTAAACAACAACAACAATTAACCAAACAAGTTTCTATATAAATGCAATATTGCTTGTGCAAAAATAAACCTCAAAATCCCATGTTTGAAATAAAATTTCAACAGCATATATTGCTACAACTTAATTTATGAACATAACAAATGTATATAAATCTTAAAGAAAATGAAAATTTTGATTTCATGAAAAATGACACTTTTTTTTTTTGACAAGGTTAAAATATAAATACCATTTTTAAATGGACAAAATTCATTTCTCTAAGAGTCTGAAAAAATTCCTTTAAATTTGGAATTTAATGAACATTTATTCCTAAACTTTTGGGGAACATAAGATACATTCCTCATGCAAAGTTATGAAAATGTTTAATATGCATTTACCATATTACTGAAAATTTATATTTAAATACCAAAAAACTAAGATCTTTCTATAATAATTTAAATAGTATATAATATCTCTAAGTTCCAATTATTACATATTTAAATTTAATAAATATTTTGATCACTTGTATAATAAAAAAACTGACATTAAAATCAAACATTTTTAGTTTATAAAACTTTAAAAATTAATTATATCATCTTTTGAATAAGAACTGTTGTGAAGTATAAATGCAGTGCAGTTAATGCCAGGTTATTCTGCCCTTAACTGGACATCAACATTGTAACTTACAGGTTTGTAAATTTACATCCCTTGGGACTAAGAATGTAAATTTTTCATATAAATAATTGTTTTAATCAATTTTGGCACAAACTTTTTATAGATAAGTACTGTAATAGGTCACGTTTCAAATATAGATTTTAAATTACAGTACCAAAACATTAAAGATATTAAGAAGAAATGCTGGATGTAAGATGACAGTCAGCAGTCTGGATCGGCCATTCCATAATTGGAGTTTTTGTAATATAATTTATATCCGATTCTAATATTTTAAATAGTTTAGATTAATTGTAAATCAATTTTCAAATTGAAAATTTAATCTATACAAATCTTACAATCTTAAATTATTATTCATAAACAACTTTCCACATCATCATCATTCCAAATTTTAGTTCAATTCAACAGAAATAGTCACATTCTAGTCTTTGCTCGGAATTCAAAATCTTAGTAAAAATTTTACCGATATTATAAAATGTGAATTAGTTACATTGTACAACAATTAGATTCATAATACTTGTCTAAAGCCAAAGTAAATTACTACTTAATATATCAATTAGCAATTAGCTGCACAGCATTGAAAATACTCACAACTTCGTGAAGAATTTGTATGAAATTTTTATAATAGTTAAATCTAAAATTATAATGCAAATTTTAAAATTATCTTATCAAAAAAGTAATTAAAAGAATTTAAATTTTTAAATCAAATACTGTATAATCAATTACTAAACATATATATAGAAATTTATAAATACAATAATTTGAGAAAAACTATATTCACATTAGATATTTCTTGCAAGATTTACTTTTTTTAATTATTATAAAATTATTTTATATTATAAATTATGAAAATTGCTTTAACATCTGTTCATATTCAAAAGAAATTCTTTTAAAAATGTTTCACTGACAGATGTACTCATATAAGTATTTAATTTACATATCAAAATATGATCAACTAAAAAACATTCATTTGAATTTCAATAGCTTTTGAATAAATATCTTATATTTATAAACAAGTGTGTATATTGATTGTTGTTTTTAAAAATGAAGTTTTACAAAACCATTTAAAAGTGATAACAAAAATAAATGAAAATTATATATAACGTCATTTATATTGCAAATAGAAAATTACAGTACACCATTAGGTTTTACTTTAAATCTATTTAAAACTTTTAGAAGAAAAAGCAAAATAAATAAGCATATGTTGATGCTAAGCAGCAAAAACTAAAGCAAGATAATCAGTTTATTTTTACAGAAAAAATGGCAAACTCTATGCTCTAAAACATCATATTAAAATTATTTATCTTAAAAATCATTCCTGTTTAGTTGGAAATATTCTTTTTATTGATCTGTAATCCTTCAAAAATTAAAAATTCAAAACTCAAAGAAAAGTTTTTCCTAAATTTATAAATTAACCTTTAAGAAGTTTTTGATTAAATTATTTGTAACATAAGGCACTTCTTCAAAATATTTATGAAATTTGGTTGATGTTACTCCAAAAAAATAAAATGTATATTCCTTTTTCATTTTATAGAAAATAGCAGAGAAATAACAATTTGAAACCACTATAATTNGATTGTCCATTCACCATTAATATGAAAAAAAATAATATATTAAATATTGATATTTCACTGAAATCCGTAAACTGTATACAATTTATTTATACGGCAATAAATTTCTTAACTTTCTGTTAACTTAAACAACAACAACAATTAACCAAACAAGTTTCTATATAAATGCAATATTGCTTGTGCAAAAATAAACCTCAAAATCCCATGTTTGAAATAAAATTTCAACAGCATATATTGCTACAACTTAATTTATGAACATAACAAATGTATATAAATCTTAAAGAAAATGAAAATTTTGATTTCATGAAAAATGACACTTTTTTTTTTTGACAAGGTTAAAATATAAATACCATTTTTAAATGGACAAAATTCATTTCTCTAAGAGTCTGAAAAAATTCCTTTAAATTTGGAATTTAATGAACATTTATTCCTAAACTTTTGGGGAACATAAGATACATTCCTCATGCAAAGTTATGAAAATGTTTAATATGCATTTACCATATTACTGAAAATTTATATTTAAATACCAAAAAACTAAGATCTTTCTATAATAATTTAAATAGTATATAATATCTCTAAGTTCCAATTATTACATATTTAAATTTAATAAATATTTTGATCACTTGTATAATAAAAAAACTGACATTAAAATCAAACATTTTTAGTTTATAAAACTTTAAAAATTAATTATATCATCTTTTGAATAAGAACTGTTGTGAAGTATAAATGCAGTGCAGTTAATGCCAGGTTATTCTGCCCTTAACTGGACATCAACATTGTAACTTACAGGTTTGTAAATTTACATCCCTTGGGACTAAGAATGTAAATTTTTCATATAAATAATTGTTTTAATCAATTTTGGCACAAACTTTTTATAGATAAGTACTGTAATAGGTCACGTTTCAAATATAGATTTTAAATTACAGTACCAAAACATTAAAGATATTAAGAAGAAATGCTGGATGTAAGATGACAGTCAGCAGTCTGGATCGGCCATTCCATAATTGGAGTTTTTGTAATATAATTTATATCCGATTCTAATATTTTAAATAGTTTAAATTAATTGTAAATCAATTTTCAAATTGAAAATTTAATCTATACAAATCTTACAATCTTAAATTATTATTCATAAACAACTTTCCACATCATCATCATTCCAAATTTTAGTTCAATTCAACAGAAATAGTCACATTCTAGTCTTTGCTCGGAATTCAAAATCTTAGTAAAAATTTTACCGATATTATAAAATGTGAATTAGTTACATTGTACAACAATTAGATTCATAATACTTGTCTAAAGCCAAAGTAAATTACTACTTAATATATCAATTAGCAATTAGCTGCACAGCATTGAAAATACTCACAACTTCGTGAAGAATTTGTATGAAATTTTTATAATAGTTAAATCTAAAATTATAATGCAAATTTTAAAATTATCTTATCAAAAAAGTAATTAAAAGAATTTAAATTTTTAAATCAAATACTGTATAATCAATTACTAAACATATATATAGAAATTTATAAATACAATAATTTGAGAAAAACTATATTCACATTAGATATTTCTTGCAAGATTTACTTTTTTTAATTATTATAAAATTATTTTATATTATAAATTATGAAAATTGCTTTAACATCTGTTCATATTCAAAAGAAATTCTTTTAAAAATGTTTCACTGACAGATGTACTCATATAAGTATTTAATTTACATATCAAAATATGATCAACTAAAAAACATTCATTTGAATTTCAATAGCTTTTGAATAAATATCTTATATTTATAAACAAGTGTGTATATTGATTGTTGTTTTTAAAAATGAAGTTTTACAAAACCATTTAAAAGTGATAACAAAAATAAATGAAAATTATATATAACGTCATTTATATTGCAAATAGAAAATTACAGTACACCATTAGGTTTTACTTTAAATCTATTTAAAACTTTTAGAAGAAAAAGCAAAATAAATAAGCATATGTTGATGCTAAGCAGCAAAAACTAAAGCAAGATAATCAGTTTATTTTTAAAGAAAAAATGGCAAACTCTATGCTCTAAAACATCATATTAAAATTATTTATCTTAAAAATCATTCCTGTTTAGTTGGAAATATTCTTTTTATTGATCTGTAATCCTTCAAAAATTAAATATTCAAAACTCAAAGAAAAGTTTTTCCTAAATTTATAAATTAACCTTTAAGAAGTTTTTGATTAAATTATTTGTAACATAAGGCACTTCTTCAAAATATTTATGAAATTTGGTTGATGTTACTCCAAAAAAATAAAATGTATATTCCTTTTTCATTTTATAGAAAATAGCAGAGAAATAACAATTTGAAACCACTATAATTTACTTTATTATTTATGAATAAATATAAAGAAATTTAATTATATTTCTCAAAGACTTTCAAATAGTTTCTCCCCCAACTATCTGGCCAGCTTTCTAATAATAAATTTTAGATCCACAATACTATTGTAAATGAAACAACAACAACAACATAAACTATGACTTTAAAAATTTTGTGTTTTACCTCTATTGTATATCTCTTCTTTTATATAATCATTAGAAATCAACTCAACTATTAATATATATTTTTTAATGCTAAATATTTGCAATCATAAAAGTCACAAATAAAAAATTGTTAAAAATTTCTTATCAAAATAATTTTGATAACAACATAATTAAATAAATAAATTATATTTTCTTAAAATGTAGGTGTCTTATGAGAGTTTGAATAAGTCTCTTATGAGGATCGAAACTTGTTTCACTTATTTTGTTTTAATAATAAAATATTTTACAAGATTTTTCATAATCTTTTCAATATTTTCTTATGACTAATAAATTTTTTATTATATAACTATTAATTGTTAATGTGGAATAACTTTTTGTATTATAAAATTTATTATCTAAGATCTATATTAAAATAATTTTAATAATAATATTTTAAACTAGACTAACATTTATATTCTAATATGGTATACAATTTGTTCTCTTGTATTTTATCTAAACTGATATTATAAAATGAGTGTTAAAAGTTTATTTTAAGTTCTTGTTCATTAATGACTAAGTTAAATATCAATATATTAATAAAATTAATTTATCTAATGTGTTGTTGTTTTACAGACTTTATTTATCAAAATCTAATGTTAATGTTTTAATAAAATCTGTCTTCAGCACTGAAATTATGGCAGAAGAGAAGATTTGTCTTACAATAAAAAGCTAAAACACTTTAATATATAAAATTTTCATAAAATTTTTAAAGTTGCATTTAACCAAAATAAATAAATTAAATATTTAATTTAAGTGAAAGTAAGTAAAAATTCGTATACATTTTATTTGGATATTTAATTTTCTTTCATCTAAAAAACTTTGCAATATAAATGACTATATATATAATTAAATGAGATATATAAAGTTTTAGAGAAATTTTACAGTTAAAAACTGCTTAAAATAATTTTATATATTCTTTAAATTGTAATTTGAAGTGATAAATTTTTAATTCAATGAAAAATGCAGAATTCTATGATCATTATATACTGTTACATGTATAAAAACAAAGTTCTATAATATCAGATCTAGTTAAATTCTATTAACAGTTCAAAAATGAATGAAAAATGAAAGAGAATTTTATCTCCATGATTTAATTGAAGTAAGTTATAGGAAACAGGGACACAACAATTAACTATTTCAGTAAGTTAATCACTTTTTGAAAATCACTAATAATGCTGTACATTGTCTATTAAACGTTCATAAACTGTTCCAAGGCAATTTTCTAACCTTTAACTTGTAAAAGATGCTGAAAACATATAAATTTGTCACATCTTGAGCATATTTAAGGACTTTTTGTGAATTGTATACTTGATATCCATATATATAATTTGTCTTTTTCAAAATTATTGACTGATGGCAGGTGATGGCTTCTTGTCATCTTGATTAGGTTGCTGAGGAGCATTACCCTGTCCAGAGGGGTTTCTTTCGGAAGACTGTGCACCTGTATTCTGTTGTCCCGACCATGCTGAATGAGGGGGTCCACCTGCAGAGTTTGGTGCATTACTTAATGGATTATTTGTGAAATCATCATTTTCATCTAAACCATTTGCTGCTGCAGCAGAAGCATCATACTGAGTATTTTCGAGTCGGGTGATAAGCCTTTCATCTTCATCACCAAACTCTCCACCCATAAGAGAGGGTTCACCGACCACCATGACATCCTAGAATGTGAAATTTTATTTTTATTATAAAGGAATTATAATTAAAGCTTTTATTATAATTATAATTAGTATACAGAAAATATAAATAGTAAACATTAAAAAATTAATTCTATTTTCTATATATCAATATTAAAAAATAAAAATAAAATAAACGAATAAATAAGTTTTTATCATAAAGTACTCAGCAAATCATACATATACAAATACTTAACACCTTATTCTTGCCGAGAAATATAATTTATTTGAAACAAACTAACGTTTTCAGCCTGATTCACAGGCCATCTTCAGGTTTAGAATACATTTGAATTAAAATTCCATCAATGGAATACAAAATTTAAATTCAAAATTAAATAAGGTACAATTAAAATATTAAATAACCAACATAAAACAAAAATAAAATATAAAAAACAAAAATATATAAATATGCAACAAATGAATATATAAGTATTAATAAATGCAATTACTAAGACATTCAATAAAACTACTATATTGATTGGTTAGAGCCCTTATTAAACTTCTTAACCATAAACTTCCATGCAGAGGGAAGACTTTCTGCGTCCCTCGCATTTAGACAGCCTTCTTGTAATCTACTCCTATAAATCTGCAACTTTTCCGCTGTCAACGCCAAAGATGGAGAAGATAAAGGATTTATGATGGTCGCCTCATTCCATTTGACTATAGCTCCTGGTGCTTGTGCCATTTGGGACAAAATTGTTGCATTAGACCCCTTTCTGATATTATAACTATGCTCCTTGATTCTAAGCCCTAAACTTCTAGTGGTTACTCCAATGTAGTCTTTTTTAACGCCCAATTGCATGTTCTCATACGGAATTTTATAAACCCCTGCTTT